TTGAACCGTGGTCCCTGTGCTTTGCTTAGCTTAGCTTGTTCTAAATAGGTGCTTTAGACCGCTGAGCCATCTCACCAGCCCCCACCTAATTAATTTTAATAGTCACTGTAATACATCAAAAAATACAGGCTATTTAAAGGAAAAGTTATTAGGAAAAGCTAGTAATTGTCTCCATCTTTAATCTCTTTAATCTCATTCCTTTGAGGCAACCAAAGTCTGATTTTTATTTTTTAATCCTTTTATAAACAGATATCAACATACACACATATAGCTTCATTGTGTAAAAATAGGACCTCATCTGTAACTTATTTCAGAACTATCTTTCTAGGTAGAAATCACACAGTTCTAATTTATTGTTTCTTATAATCCTCCATAAGGCGGATATGCCATACTTTTCCCCTGTAAATGGACATACCAGTTATACTACCTTTTACTGTTACACCTCTACTATAAGAGAAGTCTCTGCAGTTGTAGCTACATGAACTAATGCAGATGTATGAAAGACTGCTGGCTCGGATTCTGTATGGCCAATCACTCTCCAGGACACACATAACCACTCAACCTCCATTTTTTATCGCAGCATATTTTCTCACATCCCATTCAGCACTGGATGGTACTTACCTTTTCAAGTTTTGTTAGACTAATGAACAAAAAACCAAAGTATTTTACTGTTATTTGATGTGTTTATGAGCAGGAGTACTCCTGATATGGTTACTGGCCATTTTCATCTCTTGTTCTATAAAATTTCTGTTCAAATCTCATGTTAGCGTGGTTCAATAAAAAACAAAACTCAGAGGCAAAGCTGAAATCTAATGCTTTACTTAGAGGCTTGACATCCGCAGTGTAACTGCGGGAAGAGTGATGAAAACACAGAGAGATGGGCGGGGCACCCCCCCCCCAGGCTGACCGAGTGCAGAGCTGCCCAGCCGGTTCCCCAGAGCACAGACGTCCCTGAACAGACTGGACTGAATCACAAGGTTTAGCAGGAATCATAGAGAGGAAAGGCACTCTGACTTACTTGGAGTTTGGAAGTGTACAATTTAGTCTTGTTTACAGTCACCGACTGTGGAAGTTAAATCTCTCACCTAGCTGTGCTGTGCTCGTACAACGCAGAAAGTAGCAGAAAGCCAGACTCTGGACTTAGGGTGGAACAGAAAACCAGGTAAAAATATTTGAGCATGGGGTATGGGGTGGCCTACACGTTTCCTCTGCCCCTTTATCTATGAGCCTGCCTTTCCATTGAGTGGGCTGGCAGCAGCATTTATCATATTTTAAATTACATCTTGTAGAAACACTCAGAGGACTTTCAGAACTATTTCAGAAAGCAGCAAGTATGATGGGATAACTGTGTTCAAAGTGAAGGGGCGTGTGTTGAGGAGGATTAGTAGCAATGTGTCTTTTATTGTAATAATTAAAAAAAATTAAACATTGCCCATATTGCTCGGTCACAGCACATTAATCAGCTGTTTATGCCAATTTCTGTCAGAAACAATACAGTCTGTCCTCAGCGACTTTATTAACCAGATCTGGCACCACGTGACTTCAGGCATTCCCCACAGTCAAAATAACCACGAAAAGTAAGCATTGAATTGATTCAGGACACAGACAGCCATGACAGCACAACTCATGACACTCAGGGAGGAGGCTTTCTAGAACTGGTAAGAATGATGGGATAGTGTGTGTGGAGCTGGGGGGGGGTACGTGAGAGATCAATGGCCTTGTGTCTTTACTACAATGACATAAAGATTCACCATATATTTTGTTTTTTTTTAATTATTTATTTATTTTTATTTATTACATTTATTTATTGTGTGTGTGTGTGGCCAGCTCAGCCCAGCAGGGGGCGGGGCGGGCTGGCATGTGGTGCTGGGGATCGAACCGTGGTCCCTGTGCTTTGCCAAGCTTGTTTCAAGTAGGTGCTTTAGACCACTGAGCCATCTCTCCAGCCCACACCATATATTTTGATCACACCTTGTACCTTGTCTATTATATGAACTGAGCATGTGTTCTCTCCATATATTCCGCCTTTGAATTTTATTTACCGGATTTCTGTTGCGCCGAGTTTTTATTTTTATTTTTTTCCAGTATTAGGGATTTAAACCAGGGCTTCAGAAATGCTAGGCAGGCACTCTCTTGCTGAGCTCAATCTGTAGCCCCATTTTTGATAATTAACTAAATAGTCATGGTATTCTAAAAAGAAATTGTACTATATTTAAATTTTTTTATTTGTGGAAATATTTCAATTGTATTCAATATAGTATATCAATTATTCTCATCACGAGAAAGATCTTTACTAGTCTGGATGGGATATTTTTTCCCATTTCAACTTCTAATGAGTTTCTATTCATATATGCTAAAAGTACTTTTTGGCTTTATATGCTTTTGGTTTTACTAGTCTATAATAATATTGCATTTGCTGTTGACTGGCAAAAAACGCTGATTGGGGACAATTCCCTTGGGCCCCCCTTCTGTCCCTCTTCGGATGGAAGTTTTCTTTCCCCAGTAAATATATTCTGCTCTAAAAAAAAAAAAAAAAAAAAAAAAAAAAAAAACTTGATCAAGTTTAGGTAATCACCTCTATTTTAGTATCATATGCAGTTTTCATTAAGAGTAAGAGCTTGATTTAATTAAAAGTATTTCAGCACCTATTACACAAAAAAATCTTACAATTTATGAAAAGTTAGTATTTTGATAATTTGCCCAAAATTAACCCATTTTTGAATTTCTGAAGGAATCCCAACTTGTAATAGTGTACTTTTCCCCCTTTCCCCTCACTACAGGGGATTGAACCCTCAATCACTGAGCTACATCCCTCAGCCTTGTTTAGGTTTTTTTTTTTTTTTTTTTTTTTGTGGAACCGGGGATTGAACTCAGGCCCTTGCGTTTGCCAGGGAAGCACTTATTCCACTGAGCTAGCTCCCCAGCCCCTAGGTTTTGTTTTGAGGCATGGTCTTACCAAGTTTCCCAGCCTGGCTTGAAACTGATATTCTCCTGCCTCAGCTTACTTAGCAGGTATGACAGGTATGTACCACTACTATGCCTGGCTCCATTCTATTTCTCTCTTACTATATTACTGTATTTCATATGCTAATATTTCATAAGTTTTTACATTATTGGTCTATAGCTCTCCATTTTGGTGCTGTCTTTATTGGGTAAACAAAACAGGCTTGGGGAACTAGAGCTAAATAGTTTGATTTAAATTCCAGTGAACACACAGAGTAGTTAGGGAAGTTTGGCCAAGCTGCTGTGATCTCTGGGCTTCATTTTCCAGCTCTGTAAGAGCCTCAGGAGACAGCTGTGATGATTAGGTTAGTAATCATAAATATTTGGGGCTGGGGAGATGGCTCAGTGGAATAAGTGCTTCCCTGGCAAGCGCAAGGCTGTGAGTTCAATCCCCGGTTCCGCAAAAAAAAAAAAAAAAAAAAAAAAAAAAAAAAAAAAAAAAAAAAAAAATCATAAACATTTAAAGGAACATTCTTTTTCTTTCTGGGTGGTACTGGGGATTGAACCTCGTGTATTACACTGTGCTTGAGATCTTTAGCACTTGAAATTTTGTGACAAAATCTTGCTAAGTTCCCAGAATGGATCCAAATTTATGATTCTTCTGCTTCAGCCTCCCTGAGTGCTGGGATTACAGGTGTTCCCTACAATGGTTGGATCTTACTGTCTTTTTAATTATTATTTTCTCTTGATGTGTTTCTGAAATGAGACTACTGATTAAAGATGCAACAGTTCTAATATTGTGACTAAATATTATCAATATCTTTTCTAATGTGCCCATTTATGCCCCTTATGTCCCTTCCATCAGTGTAGGAATGCCTATTTTATTCATTTCTAGCCAATATGTGTATTTTAAAATTACTATTAATTTTTTATAATAATTTTATTGAGAAAGAAGTAGCAATGAGACAGTTTCAAAACAGATTAGTAGGACAGTTACAATAATTAATATATTGCACATTGTTGTCTTTGTAGTAGTTATTCACAGTGTAAGATGCAAACATGATATCTTGTCTAAACACTATGAGTTCAAAACTTTCTTCTCAGGCCGGGGAGATGGCTTAGTAAGAATAAGCACTTCCCTGGCAAGTGCAAGGACCTGAGTTCAATCCCTGGTTCTGAAAAAAAAAAAAAAAAAAAAAAAAAAAAAAAAAAAAAAAAAAAAACTTTCTTCTCATTGAGCTAAGAGAAAGTAGCTGTATATCTACACTATTTTGTATATACAGATATATATTTTTTAATATAAAATGGTCCTTCAAACTATTACTCAAAATAAAAGAGAACTTTTAAAAGTTTTTACACTTTAAAATACTTACTAGCCCTCAGCATTTCCTCGTGTGAATTTTCTGCTATGTACAAGACGGTCAAAATTGAAGATACTGACCTTTCTCTTTCTTACTGTAAGCGATTTTTATTTTAAGTGGGTTTTCTTTTTTTTTTTAATTTTGTTTATGTGTGTGTGTGTGTGTGTGTGTGTGTGTGTGTGTCCAGCTCAGCCCACCAGGGGGGGGGGCTGGCTGGCATGTGGTGCTGGGGGATTGAACCGTGGTCCTTGTGCTTTGCTAAGCTTGTTCTAAGTAGGTGCTTTAGACCATTGAGCCATCTCACCAGCCCTTAAGTGGGTTTTCTTAATGCTGCAAAGTTTTGAATTTTACAAAGTGAAATACAGTAATATTTTTCTTTCTGATTTCTCTTCTTTTCTTTCTTTCTTTTTGGTGGAACCAGGGATTGAACTCAGGCCCTTGTGCTTGCCAGGGAAGCGCTTATTCCACTGCGCCATCTCCCCGGCCTTCTTTCTGATTTCTATTGATTTAAGTTTGCATCTTTCTTTGTAGAGATTGTTTATAATTTTCATTCTACTCCCAGGTTTTGGTTTCCCCTTTCCTGGCTTTATTTTGTACATGCAAAGCTGCATAAAGTTCTTACAATTTGTTCTGATATAAAAGATGTAATATGAGTAGCAAATTTTATCTGTTGCTTGAAGAGAAAACAGTTGCCTCACACAATTTATTTAATAACTTTTCTTAAAGGGTACAACACACTTGTGAGGAGATACTCTTTACCTTTCCTTATTCTTACACATAGTTGGGCTCCTTTAAGGAGTTCTTGAACTCTACTCCTATTGACTGTTTTGGTGCCAGAACAAAAATAATTTGATTAGGGGCCGGGGAGATGGCTCAGTAGGATAAGCGCTTGACTGGCAAATGCAAGGATCAGAGTTCAATCCCCAGTTCCGCCAAAAAAAAAAAAAAAAATTTGATTACCGCAAATAAAATATATGTTGAGCTCTTTCTCTTCAATGAGGCAGCCGAGCAGCAGATGCAGAGACGCAGATCTTTGTGAAGACCCTGACAGGCAAGACCATCACCCTCAAGGTCAAGCCCAGTGACACCATCGAGAATGCCAAAGCCAAAGCCAAGACAAGGAGGGCATCCCACCTGACCAGCAGCGTCTGATATTTGCCGGCAAACAACTGGAGGATGGGCGGACCCTCTCTGACTACAACATCCAAAAACAGTCCAGCCTGCACCTGGTGCTTCGCCTGCGAGGTGGGATCATTGATCCGTCCCTGCGCCAGCTTGCCCAGAAGTACGACTATGACAAGATGATCTGCCCCAAGTGCTATGCCAGCCTGCACCCCCGTGCTGTCAACTGCCGCAAGAAGTGTGGTCACACCAACAACCTGTGCCCCAAGAAGAAGGTCAAGTAAAGCTCAGCCAGCCCCTCATCCAGAAGGGCACCACCTGCCCAACGCCTGCAGCCTTGGGCCTGAATAAAGTTTCCCTCCCTTGACTAGAGAAAAAAAAATGCTGATAAATGCTAAGATCTCTTGATTTCACTTATTGAAAAGGTACAGCTAGATGATCACTGTAATATCTCTTTATTTCAATTTTTCTCAAATTCATTTATACAAATTGCATTTTCAATTTTTTTTTTTTTTTTCCTTTTTTGCAGAACTGGGGATTGAACTCAGGCCCTTGCACTGCCAGGCAAGCACTTATCCTACTGAGCTATCTCCCCGGCCCCCTGTAATATCTCTTTAAATAATACAAAAAAGTTAAGAATTTGTATTGGAACTGCATTAAATCTTTAAGTTGGGAAAGATCTGATATTTAAAGGTCTTTTTTCATGCATACTAATAATTTTTATAACTTTCTTCAAGTGGGGCATCACATGTTTTTGTTTTTGCAAATTATTTCTAGGATTATTTTGTTAAATTCTGTGAATGAGATTATTTTTCTACTGGTAAACTGTGTAAGAAAAAGACAAGTTGATAGGTGGTACTATTAAGCCAAACTGAGAAATAGTGTGACATCGTCGATCCTGGGAAGCTTACAACCTGCCAACTCTAAATTTTGATTTGTGGTACTTTGTGGTGACTAACTTTGGATAAAGTACATGGCTACACGGGACATTCACCATATGCCTAACTCCAAAGGCACAATGAGGTATCATTCTATTCCTAAGAAAAAGGAAAAGGATGTTTATTTTGGATCAAGTGAAGAGGAAAAAGGAGAAAAAGAACAATGTTAAGGTTGTTTAAGCTACATGTTATTAGTAGTTGATGTTTTAGGCTGAAGGTGGTATAAAGAATAAAAATGGAGGGCCAGAGAGATAGCTCAGCAACATAAGTGCCTGCCTAGCAAGCATTAGGTCC